TCCCTTCCAGTTCTAGGAGATGGGATATCTCCATTTAAAAAAAAAAAAAAAAAGTTTCTATCAATAGAGGTCAATTGTTTGTATATTATATTGCAAAAGTTCCCACAATCTGCTTGTCATACTTGGTCCATTCAGAAACATACTGGTCCAGAGAGCTCACAATCTAAGATGACAAGCAACATACTAAGTCTGGTGTAGGTGCAACAACCAAAATGTGTGTATTGGGCAGGGGAGAAGCAGTTCTCAGAAGTTTGTGGACTCTCACACTTCAACTGGTGTTGGTGCTGAATTTGTAACATACACATTCTTTGTCCAAGATTATTATTAGGTACTGGAGTTAAATAGATGTCAACCAAAGAAACAAACACAAATGTTTAAACAGTGACTAAAAATCCCTTCCCCTCTCTGTTGCTCAAATTCCAATCTCTTAAATCTTGTGATGTCATAATTTCATTAATTCTCCAGTCTTTGGCTGTGTCTACATTGGGAAAATGCTTTGTTAGAAAATATGTTAATTAGTACGTTTTGGCTAATATGTCAAATGTGCCATAGTACCTACTGTAGACAGGGACAGTTGCGTTAAAAATTACTTTTTTTTTAAACATGACTGTCTGTCTACACTAGTTGCCACTTCATGTTTGACATCATTTTAGCTAAAACATTTTAACACATTTTCTTACATGATGCTTTTTCCCAACATAGACAAAGCCTTAAATGTTCAGATGCTGTTTACACTCAAATATGAAAATCAAGCAAGGAAAAAATACCCTTTTTGGACAAACTCCTTCCAAAGCTTCTTTATCAATCATAAAGAAACAAAAGAAAGGGCACAAACCCAATTGTTTTACTTTGCAAGTCACCTTTAAACTTAATGTTCTGGCCCAATCCCAACTTAGTTAATTACATTCTGCTTCACTAAATTTCCCATGTAGTTTCAACTGGATACAGGTTTCTTCCCTTTTTGTCCTTTAACTATTATGTTATTGGAACAGTTGGTATTATCCATCCCAGCAGCAGATGCATTTCATTGGTGGAGGAGTGGTCCCTGTGTATAGTTTGAACATAAGTTTATAAAATGCTTTGGGATCTTTCAGGGTAAAAGGCACTGTAGGAGCAGTGGATGCTGATCTTTATTGTCTGTCTAATGTAGCAAGTGACTTTGAAGGAAATTGCTTGAGATATGAGTTACTGAGCTTATGCTCTAGTGTCCAAAGTAGCTGACATGTTTATACCCACGATCCGTTTTCCAGTGTTTGGGGGAACAGTCCCTATTTAATTTTTTAACACTTCTGAAGCCTCTGTCTAGAGTGTATGTATCAAATATATATAAGAATAAATATCTGAATGAATTATCCTGATTCCAGGCACTTGCCTGTTATTGTGGGTAGTTTCGGGGGCTGCTTGCTTCATTTGTTTAATGATTGGTTTTCAGAGTGGATGCAGGACTGGATTATTGTCTCAGGATGAGGTCTGACACCAGTGCTGCATGGAGCTGCCTGCTTTTTCTCAGCCTGCTCACTTGTTACTTTTCCAAGGAGAATTCTAACCAGGCAGCTTTAACAGAATATTATCTAGTGCAGTTCAGTTACCAGGACACAGCTGTGTTAATTGCACTGGCTCTGCTTTTTGGAGACTTTTGAGGTGGTTAGTTGTTGCTATTCCAGGCATGAGTGGGTTGTGGTCTTGACCGGTCCTGAGGAGTTTTCAAAGAGCCAGATGTATGGCACAATTAATACTCATTAACCCTTTCTGTGCTCTAAGCCACCAGCCATTCCTAATGGCGTGATGTGCTTTTCCTTGAAGCTCCTGTCCTCTGAGTGTGGCTCATTCTTCCTGATGTACAGGTTGGTAGCATGTGCAGCATTTGCTCCTCCTCCCCCCCCCCCCCATTTTGAGGGCTCCTTTGTAGTAGCCGATAATGCTTGTGACAGGCCACTACACTTCCACCTCCCCTGCAGTAATTACATTGGAGAAAGAGCTGCACCTGTACATCAGACACCACACAGTACTGAAATAATGTAAGTGAGACGCAGCCACAAAAGAGCAATAAAGCTGCCTCAGCCTCCTAAACACGTCAGTAAAGAGGACCCATCCAACAAAGAGGCCTTCATGCTGGGCGATCTACTTTCTATGGGAAATGCTGCTTATGCCACTGTAGACTGAGCACAAGTATAATTGGAGCACTTGTTGAATTCCCCATAATTATAGTACTATCAATTAAACTTAACATAAAACTGCTATTAAATGTAGGAGTAACTCCCAAAGAGTCTTCAAGTGACTTTGGTAGTTTTTTGATGTGGAATATGTAACATTTTGATGGTCACTCAGAGGAGATGTTGGAGTAACTCTGTGCTGCTTCTCTAGGGGATGATGAGCAGAGTGATTGGTTCTATGAGGGAGAATGTGTCCCAGGATTCACCGTCCCCAACCTACTGCCCAAGTGGGGAGCAGATCACCGGTCTGAGGTGGAGCGAATGGACTCTGGCCTGGAAAAACTCTCCGACTCTACGTTCCTTTTGCCCTCCCGGCCTGCTCAGAGGGGTGAGCTCCACAGGGAATGGGATGGGTTCAGAAGTGTGTTTGTGAACCTTTAAATGGCAGAGGGAGCAGATTTCATTCACAGAGATGCTGAACTTAAGCTGATATTAAAGTTGACCTGTTTATAGATTTTTAAAATATGCTTGCTTTGGATTATTTTGTCGTGCCCTATCTTTAGACTGGTGTGATGTGGACACTCTGCATGTACCTCTACAGTAAATGGAATTTTGATATTGTGTTTGCTGTTATCTGTAAAGCAAACAGAAGTCTAGATTAAAGATGGCTGCACCAGCCAGAAGAGAACACTGTGAAACCGTGTGTGATCCTTCATTTCAGCTGCCTAAATTCTTCAGTCTCCCTTTTATAATGTATAGATTTTTATCTGTAGCTCTTGGGTAAGTCTTCTCATGGAGAAACTGAGGCACAGAGGTTCTGACTTGTCCAAGGTCATACAAAGCAGAGTATAAAACCCAGTTCTCATGACTCTGAATTCCATACTCTTCTAGGCACTGGAGCACAAGGCCTCTCATCACTGTATTGCCAGGAGCAACCTTCTGCCTTCAGTGCTCAGCCTTTTCCTTTTTTTGGTTTTCAGGGTTTCATGCTCGTCTGAACCGCCTTCCAGGAGCTGCTGCCCGCTGTCTCAGAAAGGGACGTAGGAGACTCGTTGGCAAGGTATTGCCTCTTCCAAGAGGGTAATTCTGTGTCTGCTCTGCTGGTCAGTTTGGAGCTGCTGCTCTAAGGCAGAAAGAGGATTATTTTGTGCAGAAGGACCCTGTGTGGTGGTCTGTCACATACTACTTGCTTTGAAAAATAACTATTTGGTTTTCAGCCGGCTGTTAAGACTCTATAGACAAGCAGCCAAAGAAGGTGGGAAGATGGAGGGTGAATACAGACGGAGCTATGTGGCAGGAAGCTTGGCCGAGCATAAGGGGAAATGACAGCATTGATGTATCTGGGAGAGCTGAGCAGATTCAAACCCTGGGAGGCAAAGACTGTGAGCTTAAACTTGATGTTGAAGGTGAAGAGAAGCCAGAGTTTTGAACAGAGAAACAACACGGTCTGATTGGCACCAGAGAATGGTGATTTTAGCTGCATCATTTTGGATGGCTGAAAGGACAGGAGGTCAGAGAGAAGGTTCCACTAATGAATGCAAGAAATGACCAAAACCCTTGGCCAGGATTACAGCAGTTGGCATAGAGAGAAAAGAACATATCTTATATCTATTACAAAAGGAGAGACAGGATTTACCACAAGCCTGCATGTGGTGGGAAAGAGGAAAGCCACGTCAATGTTGGGATGATGGGGCGGAGAGCAGAGTTATCAACTATGATGGAGTAAGGAGGCTTTTGGGGATAAAGTAAGGTGAGGGATTGGGTGTTTATTGGTGGGACTTACTCTGCGTTCTTGGAGACTCTGGTTTATATTCACTGGTGAAGGTCCAGTTTCCCTGCCAGCCTCCTGCCTAAGGATTGGGGGGAAAGAGTAAGACCTCTCAGCTGCAGAGAGGAAGCCCTCCCACTTTGTGAGGACAGCGTCTCCAATGATTCAGAGTTTGGGGAAGGGTATGTGTCGGGGTGTAGTCCTCTCCCTTCTCTATTAGTCACACTCAACAGCTCCTATTCTTTCCTTCTTCAGCCCATTCACCGTTAGTTGTAACCAGCATTTAAAATAAGAGTCCTCAGCTGATGTGAAATCTGCTTTGAGCAGAGCTCTTCAGGCCACCTGAAAGGGCCTGTGCCTGTTGGAGGCTCCTCTAACGATCCCAAATGAGAAGGATAATATTTACTTGTTTAATTCATCTTCATCACCTTAAAGGGATCTTTGTCATTTCCAGCGGAGGTCACTGCTCCTCCTCCCCCCCCCTCTAAATTGTAATCATAAATAATGAGTTTCATTCAGTGCTCCCCGCCAGCGAGCTGCTAATTACCCAAAGTACGGCTTGTAATTTACACAGTAATAAACCGTAAATTTAAACATTATGGCACTTTAAGTTAATAATTTTCCTGCTGTAACAAATAGCCCATCTTTGTTCACCCCTGCTGCCGCCGCTGCCTCCCCTAAACCTCATGTTCATTTGTGCCCAGGCAGTTTGGCATAAGCTCTGGAGAGTCTGGCCTGTGAAGCTGCCTTCTCCCCTCATATCTGGAGCCTGACATACACCTCTTTCCCCACCCCTCCCCCCACAGTGAATTTTTTATGGCCAATTGCTATGTGAAGATGAACAGCTTGATATTTAGAGTCTCCTGCGTGAATGTGTACAGGCAACAAACATGCGCTTTGGAGAGAACCAAGCTTCCAAAGCAGTTCCTCCCTCCTGGAATGTGCTTTTACTCAACTGCTGCAGGGGTTTTTACTTAATCTATTGCTTTCGGACATTCCAAGCTCCCACGCGGAGCCCTTCAGTTCCCTTCTCTGTGCTGGTGAAATTCCCCTTCCCCATCGTCTCTCCCCCCCCCCTTTTTTTGTGTGTGTGTGTATGCAGTGCATGTTGTAAAGGAGGGAGAAGGAGGAAGGTTCAGTTTCATGAGAAAGAGGATCTGATGGTTCCACTTAGTAGGAACCATAGGAACTCCTTGCTACCTGAGCTGAGTCTCCCGACCACCTCACCCAGCAGCCTGGAGTAACTGCTTATAGGAGCTTTGAGTCCCTGAGGGGATTCACAGTCCTCACTGCCAGGCTCAGAGAGGTTACTCTGGGAAAACAGGACCTTGAATATATGTCTGGTGTCTGTGCTGTCTGCTTCTTGGAGAAGGAGGGGGGAATGTCTCAGATGAAGCTTTTGCCTATTTTTATGTTTCAGGAGACCAGCTTGAGCACTCTGGGCAGTGAGAGGATGGGTCACATCGTTAGTGACCCACGTCAAAAAGAGTAAGGACCTATCTGCTACTGATTATGGTCTAGCACTTTGAGTAGGTGAAGGAGAGGGTAAACTGTGCAATACATTGAGACTGCCCCTTTCCATCTGCTCACTGGGACTGGACGGAGTGAAAACAAAATAGCCTGTGAGGTGGGAGATAGTTGGGTCCAAAACTGACTTGTTCTTCCCTTCTGTCCTATTTGCATTTGCTCATATCCCCCCATTATGGGTCTGCCCCAACGTATGGCCGCGGCATGCTATCCCTTTAATTACATTGAACCTTCCTCCTTCTCCCTCCTTTATCACATGCACTTCTCAAATCCATTGGTCCCCAGCACAGCCTTAGAGGACCCTCTGTCCCCGAATCTCATTATTGAGTTGCACTGCGAATGGAGGAGCACCATGGGAACAGAGCTGGGCAGCGGAAGTGATGCTGACAGGACAGCAGCCAGTTTGCCTTCTCCATAGATGCAATGTTCTGCATATCCCTCCCAGCTCCTCCTCCTAATCATAACCAGTACTATGGGTGATCAGGGTGGTTTTCCCTGGAACTGCCACTGTGGTGGTTTGACAGTTAGGGTGGCTTTTTCTGATCATGCTGCAGTGAATCCTGTCTTCACCGGCTATCGGCATCCAGATTCACGTCCTGCCTCCTTGGCTCCCTGTGTCTAAAACTTGTCATTTTTAATATGAGTCCTGTCAATGTTTAATCTCTCTCCCTTTTTTCTCCATCCCTGTTTTTTCTCCCCTTCTCTCTATTCCCCCTCACTCTCCCACCCCCCCCTTGCTCCTTCCTTTCTCTGTCTCCCATTCCATCTTTCCTCCCTCCAGTTTCTGGTTACCATCGACGGGAAAGAGAGACCGCAACCAGGTAAGATGGCTCTGCTCTGCCTTTTTTTATTTTCTCACTTGGTTTCCTTCTTTCTAGAAAGAACAAAGTGCTGGCTTCCGATTTCCACCACATTGTGGCCTGTGCACATGAGGTAAGGCAGCCCCAGCCCTTCATCTCACTCTAACTGACTTCTTCTGGGCTTCTATTACATCCCGCATGCCAGGGATCGTGTGGGCTGTTAGTAGCTCCCTAGGATCTTAGTCTTCTTAAATCTCCCTCTGTCCATCTGGTTATTTAACTTCCTCCGTGACAATGAGCTGGAGGGAGGGTCTTCTTAGCTGTAGGAACTCTGGCCTTACAGAATTCTCTGCAAACTCCATGAATGGTACTCTTTCTCCTTTTAAACCCTTCACATCCATCCATTTTGGGTCATGCTTTTTCCTGGTGATCCTGCAGAGGAAGAAAAGCTGTTGGCCTGATTGTAGTTAAGTAGCAACCAGACCAGGGAAGTACTGGAAAGTGATGGGGAGGGAGAATAGCCACCCCCTCTGCTTTCCATCACCCCTACTTAAGTGCACACTGTCAAGTCTTCTCCAATAAGTTTATTATCTAGATCAGATTCAGTGACAATTGGCTCATCTAGCCAAAGCAGAAGAGCCCAATCTCTGTGACTCTGCCAAGGCAATGGGCCTCTTCCTAGGGCGCACCAGTACTGTCTGGTTCCTCACAGCAATAGTGCCTCCTTCTGTTCAGTGGTGAGATGCTTATTTTGTTTCACAGACACTGATGTTGAATGCACCTTGTTTTTGAAATTGGGTTTCAGTTTTACTGTCTCAGGTGGCTCTGAGTGAGCACTTCATGTCTCCGGGGCAATAGAACTACTCTTGAGGCCATAGAGTCCCCTGCCTGTTAGAACAGCTCTCTAACTTCCAAAATATGTAATGCTCTGAGTGTCAGAGTGAAGACTAACTGTGTAGACCTTGAGAGACCCACAGGAAATGCTCTTCTTATGATGAACTTAAATAGCTACAAGGGGTCACTGGAGGTTCCTCCCCACAATACCGTTGTAATGTTTGACAATAGAATAATGGTCCATTTAAAGGAGAAGCTGTCTGATAATTGACGTTTCAGAGATTATAGCATCTCTTCAGCCTGTATCAAGCCCTTTGTTTATAAAAGGTGGCACTGAGCTCTGGATTCCTGAGTGGTGTTTATAACCAGGGTCCTTTCATAGCTGAAGGATTATTAATTTATAATTTCTTAAAAGCACGAGCGCCCAGTTCTTTGAAAAATGTCCCTATGGGTGCTCCACTTGAGATGCACATGCGCTGCACGTGCCTTTGATTGGAGATTTTTGACAGCAATGCCTGTTCGATCCACACATGCACTCTAGCTATCCTCAAGCCCTGTACTGAGGGTATATAGGTCTGTGATGGATGAACCACCCCCAGTTCCTATAGCAGAAATATGCATTGCTGCTACATGGGCTTCAGTTCACATCTTCTCAAGGCACCATGCTTTAATGCATACCTCAAAGAAAGATGCTGCCTTTGGTTCTGCAATTCTGCAAACAGTTCTAGACTGGGTTCCAAAGCTCTTCTCTCCTTCAGAGGGTACTGCTCTGGAGATACGTCAAGTGGAGTCACCATAAGGACACAACTCGAAGAAGAGCAAGAAGAGGTTACTTGCCTTGTAAAGTAACTGGAGTTATTGAAGATGTGTCCCCCTCTTGGTGCTCCACTACCCACCCTTCTTCCTCTTTGCTTTGGCATCTTTGTCTCTGTGAGACTTTGCAGTAGAGAAGGAACTGATGGCCGTTTGTTCGTCACAGACCTGTATGCCCTTGGTATGAGCCATTACGATAATTAGGGCACATGCCCGGACCAAACAGACACTGCTGCCAAAAATCTCCTATTGAAGGCACATTCACATCTTCCATGGACACCCACAGGGGGACACATTTCAAAGAACTCCAGTTACTGTACAAGGTATGTGATCTCTCCTTATTTTAGGAGAGTACCAGAGATGTATCTAGCATTTTATAACACACACAAAAATGAATTCCCTGCCCTGAAGAGCTTCTAGTCTAAGTTGAGAACAAACAGGAGGAGAGGAGGAGGATGATGCATGTGGTCATTCGGGAGGTTAATGCAGGCATCCAGAGGGTAGCTAGCAGGATGAATTCTGCAGTCTGTTTCCAAATTGAGTAAATGTTGCTCCATGTCATCATGTGGTTGATTAGTGATTGTTCAATTCCCACCCCTCTTTTAAAAAGAATAAAAAGATTTCCAGGGTTGTGTCCTTCAAGATAAGCTGCCCTTAATAGGGTTGATGGCTCCTAGGCTCTTCCAGTGTCTGCAGTGTGACAGATCTTCGACTGGTCTAAAAACCAGAAGGAGGGGGAAGAACATTCCTGTTTCTCTGAAATTGGCTTAAAAAGGGTCCCTGATGTGAGAGACCTTGCTAACTGGGGGAGAGGAGTCTCTCATTCAGCTAGTCCCTTTGCTGTGGAAGCAATGGGGGGCTCTCTTTGAATTGAGCCTTGAAATTGAGCTTTCGGGAGCATGGTTAGTCTTCTGGTAATGAATCTGCTCCATTAATCCAAGTGTCCAACATGAGGAGGAGTTTTACTTGCATCTTTACCTGTATTTATGGAAATAACTTCTCTCCTTAGACCCAAGGGCATGGGCAGGAAGCTCTCCCTGGGGGAGGTGGACACTCATCATGGAGTGCAGCAGTCCCATACAGGGCTCTCTCTGAATATGCTCTTGTTTACCCTGATGCTTGTGTACTGAGCAAGAGGAGCAACTCCTCTGCAGGGTTGTTGCCTTGAAAAGAGGGTAGTGGAAGGGACAGAATCAGATATCACTTGCCCCCATTATTTGATGTTGTGTTGGAGAGGCTCTGAATACTGCGTGAGCCGATGTGGAGAGTGGATTTGAGCTGCTGCATCTGGAAATTGTTCCTTTAAACACTGCTTAAATAATCTCTCTTGGACTTTCCAGTTCAATCCGTTATCTCCTTTGTACTCTCTGGATGTTCTTGCTGATGCCTCCCACAGAAGATGCTCACCAGCACACTGCACTGCCAGGTAATCCCCCTGCTTTGCTCCTATTATGAGGATTGTCTCATTTCCCTTCCTTTGGCACATGTCTGGTTCCTTCAGTACTAGCAAGCCTGTGGGTTAATGCTCTTGGAAACCTGGGTTTCAATCCTGATAAAGTGTACACATGCAGTGAGTTTGGTCTCCACTCAGTTGCCAGTGAGTATGCAGAGTAGTGAGCAATCAGGTCCTGGGGACAGAACAGTGGTCTGGATTTGAAATACAGGCTGGACCTCTGCCACACAGTGCCCAGTAAGACCAAGCTGGTGGGTTGCTGTAGATCATCTGAAGATATAGATGGCCATATCGTTGCCTATTATTAGAATTGGAAACCAAACTGCAAAGAAGGTGGTGGTAGGCTAATGTGCATTACTGAGGAACCCTAAGATCCCTGGGTGTCCTGAACTGATAGCAGACTTGGCGGTAGATAAACGGAGATGACTTTGTTACTGATGATCTCTCTGTGCTGTGGCATTATGGTGAGAAACTTGGGTCAGGAATGACCAAGAGTTCAGGCATGTTTGAGCTGGCATTGTTTGGTTCGAGGGGGAAAGGTCATGTGCTGTACAAGTACCTTCTGCTGGCCACTATTAAATCTGATTGAAAAGCTTGCCTCACAGAGGTCACTCCAGCATTCTCAGCAATTGTTGCTGTCAAAGTGTAATGCACCTTTGCACCCTTCTTACTGTGTGTGGATGAAGCCTGGCCAGGGAGGGAACTCTACTTATGTTCTTAAAGACAGATTTATTCTGAAGGCGCTCTCCATACTTAAAGCTTCAGTTTCCTTTCACTTGTTAATTAGTAAATAGGGCATGGAAAATATACTAGGGTTGTTTGTCTAAATGAAGGCTTGGCATCTTCCCAGCTCAGCCTCTCCTCCCACTGACTTCTGCAGGGAATTCGTGATGTCGCACCATGATGTCATGCATGCGGGTCTGTGACTTCTGCATAGGACACAGCAGCTGTAGGAGCAGTGGCAGGATGAGAGTAAAAAGAATCCAAGAGAATACCAACCAGCAAACCTGCTCCTCTCAATGGTTCTTGCCTTCACATTTGCCTTGCACCCCTGTAAACTCCACCATGAAGCTTGGAGCTGCATCTCTACATAATGCAGTGAGCAGGTCCTTCTGGTGCACTGAGCATATGCCCAATACTACCAGTGGAACCAGCCATTCCCTGTTCTCCCTATAAAAAACAAACCATCTCCTGCTAATAAATCCAATCAGGAAATAGCTGGTGGTACCTCGCTTGGCCTGTGAAAGCCCTACTCTGCTCCCAAAGCTACTGGTTATGGCCGTGTTGAACAAGGGTTTTCTGAAGCAACTGTGATCATTGGGGTTTCTCATTTCTGCTGAATAATTTAGTAACCAATGGATGGGTGTGCATGTATCCTAAGACCTGTCCTTCAGAAACTACTGCCCTATTTCAAAGAATAAACCTTATGTGCCGGCCCTTTAATCTTTAAACTTTAACCCTGCTAATTGCCTCCCTCCTCAATTTCTTGTGCAGCTTGAAGCAGATGTTGCATTCTTTACCCCCTCTCCTAATCTGTGGTGGTGTGTTGCCATGTGCTGTTAAACAAGTGGTTTCTCCACTCTAGAGGTGGCTGCATTTCAGGGGCCTGCAATGAGGATGAAATGGTTCCAGTAGATAGTGTGAAAAGTGCTTAAAAATTCTTTGGGACGAAAGATGATTAGAAATGAAAATGCGTGCGCAGTCCCATGTACCTAGGTAAGACTGAAATCTTTAATGGAAGGTGCTTTGCTTTACCTAAAGGTGTTGCCAAAAGTATAAAAATGCCAGCACACTTTCACAAACTCCATTATAGAAATGTCCCCACAACACACAGTTGCTCTTTAAAGCCAAGTTCTCCTTTAACCCTTTACAGAGCCACTAAAAAGGTTCATAAACAGCCTTCATAAATCCTGGCACCAGGGTCAGACAGTCCTGTGAATCTATTCATCCACTGCTCTAGTTATCAAAATCTCCCAGTGTTCCAGGTTTGGAACCAGCTGATGTTGTTGTTTTATGCTTTTGTAGGCTCCAAATAATCTTCCTACCAGAAGCAGCTTCTATCTATCTACTTGTCAAATGGCAGTGAAAACACAGGGCATAGGAAGAAAGGTTAAAGATCATGTGATGTCTGGTTAGACATTAGGCGGTTTTGTAGAAATGTACTGGATGCCCACTTTCAGCTTGGTGTTCGCTATGCCAAGTCATACTGCTTCCCTCTGTTCAATGTCTTGTCTTTTTTACAATTGCTGGCTGCCTTTGGAAAGCCTTTTGCAAATGTATCTGCTAGAAACATAGTTATCAGGTGGAGTTTGTTCTCTTTTCCCTCATGAAAATGTTTTCTTTGCCTCTGGTGGATTTTGGTGGAGTTTGTTTGGCAGTGCAGTGCAGTGAGTGTTTTGGAGCTCAGTGCTTCATTTAAACAGAGCTGCTGTTCCGAATGCTGAGTGCAGAGCTATGGGCATATAAGAAGGGCTTTTCAGTGTCAAGGAGAAGGTTCTGTATGGAGGGTTCCTTGGGAAGACGCAGTTGAAAGGCTGTATAAATTGTACTATACAAGATTTCCTTTCTTGCTTTATGTCTGCGATGAGGAGAGATTTTGTTCAAAGTGTCTGGGCAGCACTGGGGATTTCACACCCATCATTAGAAGAGGTTTTGTGTGTGTGTGGTGACTCTGTTATCATTAGTGGTATAATTTTATTTTGCAAAGCGAGGAGAGTTTTCTGCTTTCTTGCAGCTCTCCCCAGGGATAGCTGGTGTATTAATTTGCTGTATTGCCTCCTGGCTGTTCCCAGGCTGTTTTTCCTCTTCATCATGGAATTTTTAATGGCCCTGCTGCCTCTCGGGAGGTGTGCAAGGAAGAGTACCTCGGGTATCACTTCCCTTTTTTCACATGCCTATAATTACTCTCCTTTAAGAGCACAAAAGCGTTTGCTAATCATGCCTTGTCTGTTAAGGTTTACACTTGACGATGCAGCCTTTTAGAGGCAAGTGAGCAGAGGCTTTCATGGAAAGCCCAAGTATTGTACTCCCCCTCTCATTCCCTCTATCCCTTCTAGCACCACCTGTTTTTCTCTGCTGCACCTAGAAACTGTATGGAGTGGTAGTGCTGAACAGCTGCTGACTTGCTTCTCAAGCCTGTTTGGATACTGCAAATGGGCTAGGTTTATAGCGGCTCAGAACCATTGATTAGACATTAAAATGTTCCATGGCTCCATCATTGGGAAGATGCTTCATGTTTGTTTTTGGCCTATTGGTCTGGTATCATGATCGTCCCTAGAGTCTTAAGAATTTCAGAGCAGACTTGAGCCTCTGTTCCCCTTAACTCTGGACCTTGGAGTCTGAGTTATGGGTGAAGGGAAGACAGATTGCCTCCATTTCCACTTGTTCGCTGGTCATCCTCCAAAATGAGATTGGGGGTGGAAACTCATTTATTGTTCTTTCTGGAGGTCAGAAGAAGGGGGATGGTCTGTGTCCAGGCAGACAGGATGTTTAGATTATGAGGGTGGGGTGTGAGGAGCCTAAATTAGGGAGACCTTTGAATTGTGTTCCTGAATCCATATTGGAAAGGTAGAACAAGGCAGAGGGATCCCTTCTTCTTCCCTGTTTGGAATCTTTACTTGGGACACTGGAAGGAAGGCAGTTCACTTGTGTCTCATCACACACAGTTCTCAGTAAAGAGTGGTGTTTACTACATCTTTACAAATCCTTTCTTGGGTGACTGTGCTGCCATTGCAGGAAGGCTGAGGAGTATAGTAAATGACCCATGAGGTTCACATGATTTCAGAAGTCAACAATCTTATGGTGATTTTGGAACCTAAAAATGTGCTCCTTTAGGACTCCCTGGGACTCAGGGTGGTAGAAGAGGCGATGCTGCTGTGCAAAGGAAATGTGTGCTCTGTGATGTGATAACAAGAGACCTTTGCATGCATAGGAGCTGTGTGTGCTGATTGGATGAGCACCTTGTAGTGATTTACACATATGTGATGTGCAGATCAGACTTCGGTGCCCAGCTGGTTGTATCATTTCAAAGAGGAGGAGGAATTCTGCGCTCACTATTAATTTTGACCTTTGAAGCCACTGTAAACAGCCTCAGGTTTTACCTCAGGGCTTAGAAAAAGCACCTTTTATTTGGCCTGTTTTGCTGCATCGCCTACATTTCCTTTGCACAGCAAACAACAGCAACAGCTGGGCTGTGTGCTGCTTTAGTACCAATAGCCTTGTTATAAGGCTGTCTCTGTTGAACATTTACGTTAACATGAGGCTGTAGTAGCCTTTGTTTGTAAGGCATTAGATTCATGGCAACTCCTAATGCTCACTGTAACTTTCACTAGCATGATACAAATGCTTTGCATCCAAGGATATGGTTAGAATAAGGTTGCCATGGATTATGTTGGCAGAGAAACAGGGCAGTGTGGGATTTTAGTGAAAGACTCACACCTTGCATGTTCTATGCATCCAGCTTCCAAGGAAGTCTTAGATTGGGCATCATAATCACAAAGAGCCCAGGTGAGGTCCTTTTGTATGCCAGTGGGAATCTTTGCAACAGCTATTGCTCTGAAGAGCTTTTCCTCTTGAGTAAATTTTACTATATATTTTTTTTATCAAGTGTGCCAATCTGGCATGGAGAATTCTCTGAAAAGCCTGTGATGCCATCTTGTTTTCTGCAGTTGTGGTGCTTCTAAGCCAGTGTCTTGGAACATAGGATGTTTATAAACCAGGCTTAGTTTTAGTGACTGAGTTATTTCAGTGGACTAAGTGAAATGAACGTGGTGTTTCTCAGTCTAGTTCCTTGTAGACAGGTGTCCACATCACACAAACTACCACTGCAATTGGTGCTAATTGATTCCCTTCCAGAGAAGCGAAGGACTGAACTCTCCTCTTCATCCTAGTGATGATTCCTCCAGTTCAGGCTTGCTATATCTTGATGGGGAGGAGGAGCTTCTGTTGTGCTGTACTGATCTTGGGATAAAACA